CAAAAAAAAAAAAAAAAAAAAAAAAGCAAATTAGCCAAATTCTTGATACTGAACCACATGAAACTCTACTACAGTGTTCCCCACATAAATGGAGATAAAGGGAGTCCAGCTGGATTGAAAAAGGTTTATCTAGCTCAGCATTATGTTTCACCCTTGTGACCAGCCTGATGCCACTGAAATGCCTGCAAGCTAAATATAATGGAAATGTTCCTTTCTGACTCTTTTTCCCAATGAATTTTTATACAGGGACACCCTTCCACCATGAACATCTATAAAGAGCTTGAGATAAAACAGATCAGCCTTCCCCTTCTGATTTGCTCCAGAGAATCATGTTGGAGAAGGCCAATATATCACTGTGATGATCAGGAATCACTTAAAACCTAAAATCTGTCTACTCCCTTTTTGAAGCCACTGAAAATTATGAATATCCCATTATCTGTAGAGAAGGGATTGTGTCATGTGCTATGTGAAGAAGGGATTCCTTTTGCCTGTCCTAAATCTTTCATCATTCAGCTTCGTTGGATGAATGCTGATTTTAACACTATGAGAGTAGGGGGAAAAAGATATCACAATGATCAACATATCCCCTGATCTGCTATTTATTTCATGTATTCAAGAGTTGTAACCATTCTATCCTAGGTCCCTTCTCCCATTTTTTCGTAGTGTCCTTCCTTTTCATTCTTTTCCAAGTTCTCTTGGGGTTCCTTCTGTTCTTACAACCTGTTCTAACATTATTCTCAGCACAAAAAAACCTGACTTTTCAATACTGCAAACATTCTGTTCCAGGCATGGTCTCCATACCTCATTTGTGTATTACAGTACCTAACTTAATAATTTATAAAGGCTTCCTCACAATTATTTATAGAGGTTCCACCCTATAAAATGCACAAAATTATTCTCTAGAAGGTATCAGAAGGCTTTCGTTTTGAATTGGAATCCCAGTCTTAGATAGATGCATGGAAACTATTAACCTTGGGAATCTGAGAGACTGTTGTAAGGAAATGTAGATTTACCTGCAATGAGTGCATGTACTTCATCATCCAAGTTCCGTACCCATCGCAGGAAACAGCTTGTACCCTGCATTTACAAGGTAATCATGGCAACATTGTTAGACAACACAGCACAATAATCTAGTAACAAAGATCCCAATAATATCCTTAAAATTTAATCAAGCAAAGAAAACCTGCTGATTATGGCTTCAGCTTTATGACTATTTAATAGCTACCCTGTGCTACGACTTATCAAGTAAACTAAACGCTGCATTTGGGAATATATTAAAAGGTTGTTCAAAGGGACAAAGCTTCAGCCAAATCCAAAGGCGTAGGGGTGTTTGTGCGTGCGCAAATGTATGTGTTCTTCCCTTCTTATATAGACTTTATCCAGTCATTTAATAATTAGCCATTATTTAAATATCCTCCTCACACAAAGAAGCCTGTATATTTCTTATCTACTTTAAACTTCCGTTATGGAGAATTTGCTTCACCATTCCATACATTATACAGATAGCCAAGAAGGCGATACTCCAGTACTGCAGAATGCAGACATTGGAGGGCGAGGGTGCCATATTAATACTCCTCCAGTAAAAGTCTCCTTGAATATAATAAGCTAGTACTTCAGGGAGAGAAGCTTAACATAATGCCTACAGAAAGTGTCTTACATGAGGCAGCATTACAAAATTAGAAAGTATTCCCATCATTGATTTCTAGTCTGAAGTTCTACCATTACAGTCAATTCATTTGCTTAATGCAGGGTTCCTCAACCTCAGCAACTTTAAGATGGGTGGACTTCAACTCCACG